CAAAAACACTCCGGCCACGGAAATAATGCTGACTTTGCCTGTTTTGTCGCCCCTCCACACAAAGGCATTAGCATTCGACCAACACGAAACGCTCAAGAGAAAAGATCCCATGAGAGGGGGGCAGATAAAATACGTGCCGGACGGCGTGCAGCACGATGGTCCTGCAACAAACCCCTCATGCTACCAGACTGGCCCGATGGAGCCCACGCACCTCACCGAGAAAAAGACACGAGTTTGGGGTTGCTACCACGAAGTCACGAGCCATGCACAAGCTGGGGCTGCGTATGCCGGGCTTGGGCTGTGCTCATTCTTCCTACAAGGAGGGAAAAGGTGAAAAGTAATAATAATAATCACTGTTCGATCGAATGCGTCCAACATCCCGCACTACTGCGGAGGTTTCCCCACCAAGGCCCGCACCCACGGAAACCAACGGGCCCACGGTGAGTTCTGAAGGGCCCCGCAGCCGCCAGTCGCCCACTCGTGAAGAGCGGTGGAGGTTGGGAGGACGAAACAAACGCACACACACAAAAAAAAAAAACTGCACGCGCCGCCGTCCAACGCGGCACAATCAAAACTGAAACACAACGAAAGTAACTCATAAGGAAAGAGACATGGCGGCCAAACTCAACTCGCCCCATCCGCTGAAACACATCCGTTCGCGGGCCTCTCCCCTATTGTTTTCGCGCAGAAAAAAAAAACGAAAAAGAGATCCTCCTAAAAACAAAACATAAAAAAAAAAAGGTACTCGCACAACATTAATGGCCCTCAACGCCACTCCACACCGCGTGCAGACAACACGATCAAAAAAAAAAAAAAGAAGCAAACAGATCAAAATAAAGCACCAGGTGTTATTGACAATGTGCAGAAAACACACGAAAAAAAAAACGTTCCCACCAGCCACCTAAAACAAATATTTCATGCGGCCAAGACACGGGCAGAGCATCATTAAGCGGGGAGAACCCAACAGTACTCGAACAATCACCTCCCCGTAAACGGCAAATGTGATCCCAAACATGACACCAATCACGCCGACAAGCAGCAACGAGTAGGCGCCAAAGTAGTGCAGTTGCCCAACCGGGCTGCAGGAACCACCTGCCGCCGTACCTGCACAGCAGGGCGGGAAAAACAAAACCAACAAATCCAGCAGAAAACCCACCCACCAGGCCTAACACAATCGTGATGCCCGGAATGAAAAGACCCGCCGTGAGAGTGACACCCTTGCCATGAATCCAGAAACGAAGCAGTTCTTCCACCACACAATAGTCTTCACGTCAACGTGAACCACATGGTAGACGGCACCCGTACAGAAATCGTGTGCAATCCGTAGCTAACACAAAAGCTTTACTATGAGACCAGCATACGCAACTCCCATCATCTTTTCCGCAACCGGGTTGTACCGCTTGAGGACGGTGCCTCTCAGCACCGGGTCAAATTCCATGTACCCGAAAAACCCGGATCAAAAGTGCAAAGGGAAGCAGATAAATACGCCAAGGCCAGCCCTCTTTGTAAAGCGAGCAACACTTGGCGTGTACATTTCCCCATGGATCTCATGCACACTCAGCTGACACAGGAAGGCAAACATAAAAACGGACCGGCCCTAAATGACTTTATTACCTGCATAGAAGTAAACAAGATCATTGCGGACATCATGGACAAGACCGTGGCGTACCACATGAATAGCCATGCAGATCCTAATTTATATGCATATATATTACCAAAAAAACGACGATGACTGAGATGTGGTGCAGGGAATTGATTTCCTTCGGCAGGCACAGTGAGAGCAATGCAACAAGCCACACAGCACTCGTCAGCAGATGGCGACCGGTGATTGTTTTCATGCATGCGGGGACACTTGGAGAGCTACTAATAAAAGCGCCCATAAAGATCATTGTAGGGGACTTCAGCACCAAAGTTGATAAGCCACATGTTGAAAACTAAAAAAAAATAGTTTGCGCCTGTCCCCCACACGGACTTTTGCAACCCGTTCACAGTCCCGCAGCCCCGTCCGCTTCCCAACGATGCCCAGAAGAATAAAGGAGTAAACGGCCAGTATGCCAATCACCACGAGGTATACCAATGCCATCACCAGCCCGTACTTATTAAAGGCATACGGCAGGGCAAGGATTCCGGCGCCCGACGAGGAGCTGGCGAGGTCGCACCCGGACGACACAACACCTCCGTGAGGTATAATGCGTTGCAGTAGTCGCTTGAAGGAATTATCCGGTTCCCGTCGCCTGGAAACGCGTTGCACAGCTTCTTGGTTTAGACCGTCAATGCGGACCTTGACGCGGTCAGCAGCACCAAGCCTGAAATATCCTGTTTGATTCTTAGCAACCTCAAGAAGCTCCACGCCATCGTGGCGTGGGTCATCGACTGCACAAGGCGGGAGTATCGGCCTCATGTTGGGTCATGTAGCGAAGTGTGAGTGGCTCTTAAAAAAAAAAAACATGAATAAACAACAAAAAATAATAATAGGAAAATCGTTACAGCAAAGATCAATAGAGAGATACGGGCATATATGCTCCATGAAAAACAGTCTGGCAACTATAAGAGCCCGAGATCAAAACAACTAAAGAATTAGAAGCCATGAATGCCGCATAGACGACGCCAATGGAATCGTCCATGGCAGAATGCCAGCAAAGAAGAAAGAAATAAAAAAGGAGGGCTCCTGATTCTGTTGAACGGGGGAGGCATAAACGATGCGGAGCCCGGCCTAAATTTCGCACGAGGGCGGCGGCGTCCAATGTGTATGCCACCTACGCACGCCGTAGCACCGGACTAAAAGGTTCGTACGTGGCAACTCACCCGCCACCTGCGAGAGGCATCGCCACGTGCGTTGCCGGTACTTGCGCTCAGGCATGCTCCCTCACTGAGGGCTCAGTAGACGCAATGGCCGTGTCAATTGAGAATGAGTTGCCAAGAAGCGTGTGACACCGCGTTTCAACCGGTGGTTTCCCACCTGCATGCCGTTGCTGCTGCGTAAAGGCAACGGGCCTACGCTGGCCGAAGGCGTCCTGAGTGCGCAGATCGCCGCACCCGTTTCAGCCCAACCCCCAACCAAAAAAGGGCCGTCATCGTTCGCCTTACTTTACGGTGTAAAGGCAGAAAAGGAAAAAAAAGTGCATTAGTGACGCAGTTGCACCTGCCACGCGGGACGCAACGCCCGAGCGTAATGGGGGCAACTAATCGCCAATGCCAACGTCAACGTAAAACGCGTACCCTCACCACCGCACGCTACTCGAAGCCCAGCCACGAGACGGAATGACAACAGAGAATCACAACCACACGGAGGAGCACAACAGAGTCATCCGCTCTCTGCAGTGAACACAAATACAAAATAAAATAAAAATGAAGAAAAACGATCAGGTACAAATAGAGCCAAAAAGACGGACTGAGAGTCAGAGAGGTTATAAATTAACAAACGCAAAGGTCCCTTTGGCAACGCCTGCCTCTGCGCCGGCTACGTACTCACCCGTGATGCCGTCCGCAGGATGTGAGGTTGATGTTGCCAACCGAGCCCTTCTGGTACGATAACGTAAATGCAGAGATGCTCTTCTCTTCCGCAGAAACGCGCAAGACGTCTACAGAATCGCACCGCAGGATTGCAGCCGTTTCTCTGCAAAACGGATGCTCTCACGTTCCCGCTCATACTCCAGCAGCATTTCTGAGAGTGTCCGCACCTGTTGCGGGGATGACGGGTACCGAAACGCAAACAGCGATGGGGCCCTTACTGCGGGCTGTCGAACGCCTGAAGAGGCAGCACGAAATGGACGAGACATTGGGGGTGGTGGGAGAAGCATATCAACAGACTCATGACGGTGCAGATGGCGATCAAACGAGATGCTTTTGCTAATACCGCAGCTGGTATCGTTGAGGCGGCAAGCCTTGTACGGGCTCCTTGGTGAGGGGTCGGGGGAAGTCATGGAGGCGTGTTCCGTCAGCCCCCTCACAGCCACCGGAGAAAACAAAACGCCCTTCTGTGAGAACGCTTGAAACTCCCCCTCCATAAGGCTGCGGATACGGTCAATACCCGCCTGAAGTTCCGTCAACTGCTGCTGCTGCCCCTCCACGATGCGACAAAACGTTCCAGTCACATGCATGATGTCGGCCTCCACCCCTAACATCGTCCCCAACTGCGCTGGAGCGGTAGCGGCAGGTGGCTCAGCGTTACTGACCGGCGCGTTGACGGTGGGGAGAGCGGCGCTCTCAGGTGGCGCACCAGCCGTGCCGTCGCCATGGTCCTCGCGGTGGAAAATTTTAACGTCTTGCGGCACCTCCGCTTTCACGTCCACATCCTGGACATGTGTGCTCTGCCGCTCACCGCCGTCTGCTCCGTGCAGCGGGGCTTCATCCTTCTCCACGTCAGCATGCTCGAAAAGATGCGCATGCGTCTCGGTTTGAGGTTGAATCATCATGGGGTCGGTGCCGAGCTCTCTGGCCACAGACTGCAAGTATTCCTCCTCTGTGCCGTGCTGTGCCGCAATCTCGCTCGCCGCAAAGGCGACCCTGCTTGGTGCGTGCCACGCGTACAACCCCTCAAGACGCTGCACAAAATATGCCTGCGTTTCCCCCTCCGTTGGATCCCTGCCGTGCTTCTCCCGCAGCAACTCAAACAGGCCCTCCTCGTCCTCGGCATACTGACAGAGGTACTCCCCCAGTGTATGCAGCTTCTCAGGCGCCCGTACACCAAGAAAGCTGCTCAACCGGCGCTTGAAGGAGTGTGTCGGCGCCACATTGACCTCCGTCTCCCCGACAGGCAGCTCAGCCTCTGCCTCCACGGCTGACTGTGGGTCTGCCGCCTCCTGCACTGCCTCGGGAAGCTCCTCATTGGGACTGACAAGCACGATGTCAGGCGTAAACTGGGGGAGCGGTCCCTCCGGCTCAGGCCCCAACTTCTCGATAAGTGCCATCAGCGCCGCCGCGTCAGTGCCCTCCACGCGATCCAGCATGTTACTGAGGCGTAACAACTTTTCTGGTCGATACGCCAGAAGATGCCGCGCAAAACGCGGCGCCCACACATTTGCATTTTCCGCGGAGGCCTGCTCGAGCGGCGGCATCGGAGCATTCGCGGCGTCCGTAGGCTCTGGCCCGTAGCGCTCCACCAGCGCCTGCATCAGCATTTCCTCAGATCCCTTCCACGTGTTAATAATATTTGGCACCGTTTCAAGTTTCTCCGGTTTGTGGTGCATGTAAAAACGGCGAACACGTTTTTCAAAAGAGGAAATGGAAACAGCCGCATGCGCCTTCGCCGCAAAAACCTTACTCCGCAGAGGTGCAGCAGCAGCAGAAGGAGGCTTAACTTTTGACGAATTCCCCTTTGATTTCTTCGAGGCAGTGGTCCCCATGCCGTGTGGGTAAAACAACCAGTCACCACTCGTAAATGTAACAAGAATGCCCCTGCGTCACACTTCTTGAAGCCACAAGGAGAGCAGGAGAGTAAACAAGGAAGAGATGCACGCAGCAGAGACAGAGTCGGTAGAGAAACCACACCCGCAAAAATATACTTGGACATATGCGTGTGCGTGTGCGTGCGCATAGATGCATGCGTGGATGAGTGATAGCAGGTGGTGAATCATAGCAGTGCTATGCGGCGTCGATAAAACCGTTAATGCCAATAAAAAAATACAAAAGAACACGTACGTGGGTAAAATAAAAGAAATCGTGTGTGTATATATTACAAGAAGGCGTAATGATTCATAGTTGTTGCATATTTATCGCCTCGACGTTAGCCGCCTTCGCCATGCAAGACGATCCGACAGCAAAAGCTTTTGCTCTCGCCACCGCTGTAGCTCTTCGTGAGACACATCGAGCGGCGGCCACGTGTGTCGGTCCGAAGTAACCCCAAAAGCTACCGCAGATGACGGACCCTGCGCAGCTTGGGGTGATAAACCCGCAGGGATGGGGCGAAAAAAGGTGTCAAGACGTCGTGAAGCATCTGCCTGTTGTTCTTCTGTCAGGCACCACTCAGCACTGAAAAAACGGATAAAGGCCGTGGCATCCACCGCCCGCGGACCATTTTCCGCAGGTACAGCCGCCGGAACAGTAGCACCGCTCAATGTATGGTGGAGATCATTCTCAGACCCCTCCGTGGCCAGAGTCACACAACTCTCTACTGGGAGGAGTTTATCAACTTCAGCCTCCGTCGGTAGCTGAGGCTGCGGCACCGCCTCCGGTGGCTCTGGCCCGTACAGTTGCGTTAGTTCATCAAATAAAGCCTCTGGTGCCTCACAGAAGTTGTGGACCAGCTCATCCACGTGGCTGCCCTGGAGCTTAATTGCATCGTAGCAAGTGAAAAATCGCCTCAGTCGTGCGGCAAACGCCGCTTCGCTGACAAGCGTCACGGACGGCGCGCCCTCCGCCTCCGCAGACGGTTTTTTTTTAGGGCTCGAAGGCTCAGGGCCAAAGCGACGCACAAGAGCCGCCAGCATCTTCTCCTCCCTCCCACGATACTTGCGGAGAATCTTGTCAACGTGTGGCACCTTCTCAGGGTCGTAAAGAAGAAAAAATGACGCCAGGCGTTGGCTGTAATCGTCTCGCTCGGAAGGTGTTGTTGATGGCGGCGGCTGGGGGGCATCAGGAGGTGGCACCACGCCCTCCGTGAGATACTTCTTCTGCAAGTGCCTCAAGACGGCATCCTCTCTCCCCTTGTGCTTAAGGAGGAGGCGGTCCACCTGCGCCAGCCTCGAGGGGTCGTGCCGCTGCAGTATTGTCACAACGGCAGCCCGACACTCCTCGTAAGAGTCGCGCGCTGGCGGGTCCGCAGAAGCAATTTCAGGCTGCAGCTCCAGCGAAGCGTACTTCTTCACGAGCGCAGACATAAGTCTCTCCTCCTTCCCGGCGTATTTCTCCAGCAGGGCCTCGACGTGCCCCAATTTTGTCTCATCATGCAGCTTGAAAAATGCTACAAGCCTGTCACGGTAACTGGCCGGCACTGCCGGTAAACATGGCGCCTCGGCTGTAGGCATTCACGCACGCAACACGACGAAGCAAAATGTGTGGAAGTTTGACGCGGTTGTGCGTGGAGGGTGTGGCCTCACACATGCACCTTTCACAAGGAGGCAGTAAAAAAAAAAAAAAAAAATTAGTTGTAACGAAGAAAAAAAGCAGGTGGGGGGCGGTGGAGATCCGTCACGGCACGTCGTGAGGCAGGCAAAACGGAGCCACCGCGCACACGCAGACGGAGAGGTTCGTCACTCCCCACTGCTGCCGTCGGTGGTATTCCGCGCAAACGCACGCACACACGCAAGCAAAAAAAAAAAGGCAGAAAAGAAAAATATGTTTGAAAGCCCGTCCCATGCGGAGCGCCGCCCTTCTTACCCCCTCCTCCCTCCCGCCCTTCCTTCGCAACCCCCCGAGTGGAGTTGGGTTCCCCCGCTGTTTTCCTCCATTCCCCCCGCTTTATGACCCCAAATTAAATTTGTTCGTTACCGCCTATATTTTCTCGTCCCCTCCGTATTAACTTCCACAACAACCACCAGCGGCGTAATGACTCACATCAACCCCGTCAGTCAACACGGGCGATGAGCGCGGCGTTGTGAGCACTCCTGTGGTTGGGAAACCACACGTGAAGTGACAAAATCTGCATTGCGTGAGGCAAACACCAGCCCTCGCCCTTTACCCCCGCGCTGCAGTTGACTGTCCCGTGTCTATCGCAGGCTGCGAGAAATGAGCGAGGGGGCTTTGCGTAAAACATGTCGTTGCTCAAGTGACAAATACACCGCCCCATCTTCAGTAGGAGACGCTAATAGATTGAAAATACACAAATCTATGCGCATATACATCTATACAAATGGCTGCCCTCACATGCAGACACACACACACACAGGCGAGCTGAAATATGCGCATTGTCAGTTTGCCTCAGCGTGAGCACAGGGAGAAGGTGTCTGTGTGTCAGTGTGTGTACTCCATCATGGGCATGTTTACCTTTCTTTCGCTCAACAACATCAAACGCGCGAGGTTGCAGAGATGCCGCACGCCACACTATTTAACGCTACCGCAGAAAAAAAGCATCAACACAACACTTCGCACACGCAGAACGAGACGAGAACAACAGGGTGTCCGTCAATGAAGCATATGGAAAACATACATTTTGGGTTCACAATGAACCCGTGAGGGCCGAGACAAGAGACGTGCGAGGGCAGAATGCATGCATTTTCCTTCACTCGCTTATTCCGCCTTCGCGTGTATGCGCAGCACACATTCCCGCCGTCTCTCTGTGCGCGTGGGCTGCGGTGCCCAGACGAGCAAAGTCAAGAGACCAGCGCAACTAAAAAAAACAACAAAATGGTCGCAGACAGACGCAACGTCAATCACACACCCAACAGAACGCACCAAGATACACGCACAGCGACATATACATATTTGCTGGAGGGACGTTGCTCTCGCATAGATTCCTACATGACGGCCCACCGCCGTCGCCTCTAAGCCCCGTAGACCTCGAACTCCTTCAGTTCCTCCCCCACGCACTCTGTCAGCTGCCGCAGGGGTGAGAATCTGATACCCCGTGCTGACATCCCTCATCATGCCCTTCACCGAAAAGCTGGGGATGCTCTGGAAGACGTTGTACTCACGGTAGATGGCTTTGAACTCCACCCAGATGTCGTTCCCGGCGTAGGCGTCCACCAGCAAGCCAAGAACGTACGGCTGGGAGATGAAGTTGTTGTGGATGCGGGGGACAACAAAGTACGGATTCCCCTGCGGCTCAAACACGTAGCGCGGCGCCACGTCGCGGAAGAAGTGGGGGCTGACCTGGTGGTTGGGCTCCCCTACATCCTCGGTGCTCGTGCAGTCCATCTTCTTATTCTTGCCGCCATGGCGGGAGACGCTGATGAGCATCGCCGCACACTCAACGTCATCACCGTCGCACTCATCCTCCTGGGAGAGAACGATGTACACATCGACGGGGTCGGCAGCGTTGATTTCAAGGCACGCCGTCGGGCGGTCATCGTTAAACTCCCCACAAATGCAGCAGTCGTACCAGTTGTGCTTCACATGGCACACGCCACCGCCAGCAAAGATTTTCGGAACGTCTCTCCACTCCATCCAAAAGGTTCAGTCATCTTCTGTGACTTTGCTGCCGTCAGGAAAACATACAGCATTGACGCTCAAGTACTCATCCCATCGCTTGTCTTTTTTTACCTCAGTTCCCCGTCCACTCCTCGCCGGCACCCCAAGCGTTGCGTATCTGCACCAGGCGGAGATCAAGTTCCTCAAAGCACCCGGCACGCCAGACCGTGTAGCCGCAATGCAGCCGCAGCCCCATTTGCGTGTGGCAATTCTCCAGATCCGTCACTGCCTTGTCAACGGCGTCATTCACAAACTGTTCGTTGGCTGCATCGTTGCGGGGGGTGCAGAGCATCGTGATAAAGTCCTTCTTATCGTAGAGGATCATGCGCCTAAACAGGGCATCGCCACCGTTCAAAGATTCCCCCAAGAGAAGATCAAAGTGGGTGGTGGGGAAACCAGTGAAGTCCTGCAAAAGCTCAAGGGGATCCCCGCTGACAATCTTTGAGTAAAAATAGTGAATCTTCGCGTAGGCGTTTTCGAGCAGTCCCCTACCAGATGCAACGAAAGTCAATCGCACAGCGCGCAAACTCTGGCTCCTCGCGACACCCTGGCAAGTGGTCGTCAATGAGCACAGGGCACCACCACCAATCGTTGTAGTTCAGCGTCACCCAATACGCGCCAAGGGCACGCTCCGCCTTTCCGCGCGCTGCACGGACAGGGTAGAGAAAGACGTCGTAAACCCTGTACATGGACGCTGCAAGTGAGGTCATGGCAGACACCAGGTAGCTGTCACCAATCTCACCCTGTGTCACGTGTGAGGAGAGAATGGCTCGACGAAGCAGGCGCACCTCCTTGAGTTGCTCTCCTGCAATGTATGCGTCTGGGCGCGCCCAGGGCAAAATGCGCATCTTGGATTTGTCGGCATCCTGGCGGTACAAGAACTCGTTACATGAGGGGAAGCTGCAGTCAATGTACGGCGCCTCGTACTCAATGCAGTACTGAGAGGCATCCCCCTAGTCCAGCGCATACACGCCGTCAACGTTCAGCTCATGTGCTATGCGAGACAATGCCTCCAGTACCTCGCTATTTGCATTGAAGAAGAGCTCCGCTCGGTGTTCGTCACTCAGTGGCACAGCCTTCGCCATGCACTTGAACCCGTTCACTTTGCCTGAGGTAAGCCGCAGTATCTCCTGCAGGAACACGATAAGGAAGGCCTCAAGCTTCTTGCTTCTCTTCACAAAGATGTCAACATGCTCGCCGGGCTACAACTCCGACTTGCAGCCAAAGCGGAACCGCACGCGCATTTCGTATTTCTCCGCGCCGTTGTGGAGGTTCCGTGAGCCGTCGTCCGCGATGATTTTGTAAGGCATTTCATTGTTGAACAGGGACGCCATCGCCCACCACTACCACCACCACGAGGTACTTTTGACTCGGTGTCAGCCACGACAGGTACGCAAGCGCCGTGTTGGTCCAGGCATCCTCAAAAACTAGTCGCACTTGTCGTCGTTGACGTACGGAGGCGGCAAATCATGACGCTGCGTCACGTATTTCTTCCCGCTCTCTGCATCCGCCGCATGTGTTAAATTTCGTCGAAGCCCCTCGAGAAAAGACCCGGCGGTGGGTCGCCACGGCAACGGCACGCGGCTCGTCCTCGTCCATCGGCTGCGCTGCACTAGGGAAGGGCATGAGGTAACAGCCATCCATGTCGATGCTCAGGACCATTGCCTTCCGCCTAGCCTGCTGCTGTTGTATTTGTTGGTGTTATTTTTGCTTCCACACACAATTCCTCCATGGAGCCGTGTCGCCTGTGTGTAGTAATCTACGCGGGAAGTACAAGCATGGGATAAGCAAACCACAATGTGTGTGATTGAGAGAGTGCGGGAGGCGGGCGTGGTAGGCACGCAACACTCGTGCTTCCCCAACATATCTCACCCATTATGGTGTGTGTGTGTGTGAAGATGCCGTCAGTCGCGCTCGTTTCCGCCTCGAGCAAAAAATGCCGCACCGTCGTGCAGCAGGAACACCCGCCCGCGTCGGCACTACGCAGCACAGCCGTGTGCACATCGCCGGCGAGGCAACCGGGGTAGTGGCCAACAGTGACGCCCATCAATGTGCCGCTGCAGGAGGGGGGCAATTTACACAAGACAAGCACAACAGAAAAAAACAAACTGACATGCACCCATTGACGCCACAAGTAATAATAATAACAGTTGCTCTTCTTCGCCCCTCCCCTGTTTGCCCAAAGGAGTATGTGGGTGTGCGCATCTCACACCAGCGCAGACGCAGAGGAGACAAAGTAAAGAAGTGAGAGTCACCAACCACACCTGTCCCACCACGCCTGGTACACTGTCTGATGCATTGCCCCTCACAAATAGACACTCCTGCAGACGCACGGCACTGGTAGGTGACAGTGACGGGGGCAGATCTCTCCGCATTCACCATGAAGGATCGAGGATCCTAAAAGGCCTAGCAGAATGGATCCAGGTGGCAAAAACTCACTTGGGCCTCCCTCCCCAACTACCGCATCGCATAGGAAAAAAACAACAAAACGGGGTTTCCTCCCGGCCGACAGGGCTTTGCGCCCGCGGAATCACGTAGTACGGGTTGTGCTTTCGACCAAAGCTGCACTTCAAATATACGTCTTGTACCGCATGGTGGGCCATCCTGCCGCCCGGATGCTCGATGCCACCGGAACTCGTGTACGCAAGGGCCTCCGTCTTCGATGCCGCCACATGGCACGGGACCAAAAGAAGCATCGCCTTATATCGAGGCGTCCTCGCGATACCGGGATGCTGCAGTCTGGTTTCCTGCAACGGCGTGAAGACAACCTCCACTTTTCTCCAAACGAGGACCTCAAAAACGATGACAGAAACATGTTGACAAAAGCGAATTCGAATGCGATAGTCGTGCCAGCCCCAGAGGGTGTAGAACGCACCACCGCCCCCAAAGAAACTGGGCGCCTCCGACCATTCCAGCCGCATTGCTCCCAACTGCTCTCTTTCAACGCAGCCTCACCGGTTCCACCGCCACCGTCACGTGTTGTCTGCTTGTGGGAGCCACCAGTTCTCATTGTCTGGTTCTTGTCTGGTTGCTCACACCACTTGAAACGCCTCCACTTACTTAGCGTCTGTGGCTTACCAGCGGCACACCATGCCCGCGGGTACTTCGGTTGCACCATGCAGAGGTCCAAGCCCTCGCAGTACAACGTCTCCGTGATGACGTAGACGTAGCCGGGCAAAAAAAAAAGCGGTACCCCGTCACCAAAGCCAATAAATCGCATGGACAAACGACGTGTGATGCTCACAGAAAAGGCAGAGGATCTTGTCGAGGGTAAAGCTGCGTACACCATGACGAGAATGTTTCGTCTGGCGCATCCATAAATGTATTTGTAAAGCGTCTTTGCAGAGTCAGCGTTGCTAACGGCATCCGACCACAACTCATCCAAATTACGGCAGGAGAAGCCGGTGAAGTCAGTCAACACCTCAAGAGCATCGGCGGAGCCCAATGCCGCATAGGACCCCGAGTGCTTTGGCGTGCACCTTTTCTAAAAAAAGTAGACCCACAGGCGACGCGGGTCCACGGTACACCTTGCAAGCAGGAGTGCATTCAGCGACGGCGGAAAGCAGTCATCCAGCAGCAGCGTTGTCCGCAACCCACCAATGCAGAGGGCTACACGGTACGCTCCAACGGCACGCTCGCGGTTTCTCTTCTCGGAGCTCATCGGGTGTCAAAGCATCCAGCGGACGTGAGCGGGAAACATGGCCACAGCTGCAATACCAGCAATCAACGTGTGGCCCTGCAGAGAGCCCCGACGCACCAGCTGGCAAGAGATATTTCTTCTAAAAAGGTGGGCCTGATTAACCTCCGTGAGCATCAAGTAAGAAACGGGTCGTCGCCACGTCAGCGGAGTCAGCGTTACCGCGTCCACGTCTGGACGACAGGAGGAGGCGGCGGATGGGCAAAACTCGAGAGCAGTGAACTTGAGAGCCCGCTGCCAAGGCACCACCTTAAAAGGGCCTTCTGGTTCCCGGCGCGGTCCCAGGACCCCAATTTCGACACGGGCCTGTTAATCTTCACATCGACTTCCTGCATGTTGCATTTCACAGAGAGTAGAAAACAATTTTTTGGCGGTTTGACGCCTTTCGCCCGCACCCGCGAAGGAGTCCTACTCGTCTTCATAAAAACGCTGGTTTCCTCAGGTGGGGTCGCCAGCGTGGGCTCCGTCTCGTCGTCCCTACTTGTGACTGAGCCACCTTCTCATCGATCACCTCGTCGCCGCACAGTCGACACCGCGCCCACACCACCATGACGTACTGCAGCATGTCGTATAAATAAATAAAAAAACTCCCCACTTTCCGTCCAGATTTTGTACAACACGCCGGTGCTAAAGTCGCACGAGGTTGCCCCATAAACGGAGGGGATGGCAAACGCGTACTTCCGATGCGGGTCGCGTGTGGAATGGGCAATCTCCCTAATGTTGCCGTCGTCAAACTCATCATCGCCGAAGGCATAATATTCAGCATCTTTTAGTGGACTGACCCCCATCCTCCTCTTCGTCATCCTCTGACGCAGCTCCATCCCTCGCAGGCGCGCGCAGAACGCCACGCTCCCTTGCCGTCTCCGCAATCTCCTGAAGAAGCGTGTCACACAGTCCAAGAAAAGCATCGCACTGTGGGTCACTATAGTTCCGATAAACGTGCCCGCAAATAAGGTGCAGCACCTTCGTGCCCGACACAAGTTGCACTAACTGACTGAGCCGCTCACAAGACATGGCGCGCTTTGGGCGATTCGCACGGGCGTGGTTTCCATTAGCTAAGGTTGTGTGTGATGGTCCGGAGACTCTTTTTTTTTTTTTGGCTGCGGCTACTCCCATCATCTTGGAAGTAGGATACATCTCCTCACCCACGGCGTTGCCTCCTGCAGAAGAAACTAAAGAAGCGTTAACCTCATATTGACCCTATCCCAACAGCGGTACCAGAATCCGGTGATCGAGCCGGCCTCACCAAACCAGAAGCCGCGGCGCTGGATGCAATAAGCGCACATTTCGTCGTCGTCTCAACGGACACTAGGGACAGCGGTGGTCTGCGCTTGGGTAACGCCGACAAGAAGCCTCCTGCCTCCCTCCTTTAAGGGGAGCAGGGACAGTTGGGCAATCCCAACGCCCCTGTGGGTGATGTCTGCACCATCGGTAGTGAACCCGTAGTGGGGGTGTAGTCGCTCGTGTCCACTGTGTCCGAAGTGGAAAACACAATCGCCGCAGGGCGTTTCCGTGGTCAGCGCATCAGGGAGTCTCTTCCCACGCCACGATGCGGAGAGAAGACGCGGTGCTTATGTGGCTCCTTCTCCAGTTCACTGCTCGTTTCGATATTGAAAGACAGAGGCGATATTGTCCGCTGTTGCTGTTGCTAGTTCTGCTGGGGAAGGCAAAAGACAGGAGGCAGGTGATTCTCTTGAGATTGCCCCAACTCGCCCCCTTGCATGCTGCGTTTCCTCCTGTGTGGAATTCCAGAGCTGTTATTGGGGGAGGACCCGAACCCTTCGATGCGAGCAGCGTCCTTCGTGGTCTGTGACAGCAGCGCCTTTTCCGGCGGCAAAGTTGCCGTGAAGGTTTCTCCTCCCCGTTTTACGGCTGTGGCAAGCCTGGTGAACAGCTTCACGTGTGCGCCACCAACGCTGCCGGCGTTCCCCTCACGCTGTTGCGAGTGGGAGATGCTCGTTGGCAAGGGGATTTGGGGCGCATACGGTGTATTAACCTCAAAGATGCTTAAGGCGGGATTGAGCTCCTCCTCGATGCTGGAATGGGAGTATTAGGAGAAGTGGACAGGGAGCGAGTTGGAAATGTGGTTTGGCGTCCAGTTGCCGGACACAATGCCGTTAGCCCCCGGCTCGTTATCCTCTGGGGAAAGGGCCCCTGCTGTGCACGGGAGCCGGCGCATTCCAAGCGTCGCAGCCCGGCAGAGGGTGATGTGCCCACGGCACTGTTACTGCCCCCTCACCCCCTCCTCCTATGCGTCTGCGTGGCGCACCGCGCACTTTGGTGCACGTTGTGGTGACGCCAATGCACTCACACACAGAGAACAAAATAGGGAACGAGAGAGAGAACGAGAGGCACAAAGGGGGGAAAAAAGAAGAGAAGAAAAACATAGAAGCTTCACTCAACATGAGCAGCAGCGCAAGAAGCAACATAAATCCATCCAACAATACCGTCTAAAGGGGAAAAAGACACCTACAACAACCTACACTCCTCGCACTCAACGCCCACGCAAAAAAAAAAAAAGTCAGGGCCTTCAATGGCGAGGAGGGCCCGCCGTGCGTCCCCGGGCCAAAGTGGCACGAAAAGTTTTAAAAAAACAATTGGGGCGTGCAGAGAAAAATAACATGTAAAGAAGTGCAAATACATACGCACATAAAATGCACCAAACGGAAGGAGTCCACGAGCTCAGACGGGCAGGCCAGGACTAAAAAAACGTCACGTATGCCTTCTAGCAGGAAAAAAGTAATTTTAACCACCACCGAGGGGTTCCAAACTGTACGAACGATGCCACAGTAAGGCAGCCACTCCCTCTGTTTATCCTGCATGGAGGAATTCCAAGCAAACAAGCACTGTTCTGGTACATCGTAAACAAAAAAAAACCGTTGCACAGTCCTATGGGCGAAAAGAAGTAGTGACAGTCCTTGTGGGCAGTTCACTCAAACGTGCACGGCCACAAACCAAGAGAAACATGCAAGGGATATTTGCGATTAATGCAGCAGCTCTGACCCACCAGGATTGACGCACAGTGTCGATGAATGCCTCTTTGAATGTATTCATCACCGCCCCCAGTTGGACTGTGCGGACAACGCAAATCGGTCCATTTCTCCCCCGTTTCCTGGCCGTTGAGAATTCGTGTGAGCTTTGCCCTCTTCGCGTCCCCTCACACGTTGAGCTACGGCAGTTCTCCACCGACGTGCTTCGCAGCGTGGCGTCCATGCTGCAGAGACTGTCGGCGTTTCGCTTCTCAGGGCGACCAAACGAACAGATCCACCACGCTGTGAGGCGTGCGTGCCATTGTCGTGCTTAACCCACAGCAGAGGGAGGAGACAACAGAGGTGCGGGGCGAGGGGAGAGGAGAGAAGTGCAGGTGGGTGGTGCAGAGGCCGGCAGGGGACACAGAGAGGGAGCCGGGGGCGGAGCGACAGACACGCAGAAGCATGCGACCCGCAACGCCACCTACGACACAAACAAGACGGCAATGCCAAAAGGAAACAAAATAGTAGTAATAAAAACAATTGTGGTACAGGTACGTACATGCGCAAGCGTACATCCAGTGGTGAGAGAAGACGGAAATCAAATGCATGCACACATACAAAAACACACCACAAAAATGTGGGTAAAATAAAACAAAGAGATGCAGGGAGAGGGCCCTCATCGGAAAGCAGGCAGAAACAAGACGAGGCGTAAGCCACAACTCTCGTACATGGAAAAGAAGCCAAAACAAACAAAAATCAGTACCGCAAAGAAAGGCAACGACATGTATATTTATACTTGTATTTACATTTATATATTTATATATCCCGCTGGTGGGTCTGGGTGTTTGCGTGACGACGGTAAACGGCATATGCATCCCACACACGCCTACATCACAGTCACGCACCGGCAGCGCCGAGGTGGAGACGCAAAGTTTGTAGCCAATCAAAAATAAAATAAAAAAATGGCTCAAACTCAATCAACTCCACCACGCGCGTTCAAACGGCAGACCCACAAAACAGGTTGTTTCCTCTCAGTTCCTTTGCATCGCCTTTTCCAGCGGTACCGCCTTTTTCTCCTCTGCTCTCGCTTTCCTTCCCCCCTGCTCCTCTTCGCCTGCTGCCCCCATCCTCTACTTGTTTGGCATCTATTTGTTTCAGCGTCCACGCACCACAACAGAAAATGAGATGAAAAGCCCATCCACTCACCAAGAACAAAAAAAATGGTAAAAGAGCAGTCGGCAACATCGTTTTTTTTTTGTCGTTTACCCTCGTCCCCATCTTGTTTCCTGTGCGGAAAGGAAAGGCCGCGGTGTCTAAGCCTGCAGCCGCGTGCAGAGTGGCGCGTTACCCTTTTCCTTCACATTTGGTGTGCTAGCCTCAAAGACACCTGTATCACGTTCCCTACATGTTTTTGTTTTTGTTCCTTTTCTCTCAGTTCATATTTTCATGTCCTTTTTTTTTTTTTTTTGGTTGGGTTGCTACGTTGCTGCGTACACGCATGCAGGTGCATGTGCGCGTCTTCGTCGCTAGACCGTCTCTGTTCCTTCCGACTTGCTAATTGTCAGTACCCCCGGACAGTGTGTGTTTTGTCCACATAGTTTGCCTTGATTCATACACTGAGCTTCTTGTGCCGTTTTTTTTCTTTATTTTCTTCGTTCCCGTTTATTGCCTCCTGCCCCCTCCTCGCCCTTCATGAGACCGCGCGGGGCACACGCACGTTGCCGTCAACATGCACCAACCCACACGGCACAGCCCTGGAGACGGCTGGAGGGGCGCCTCCAAGAAGGGTGTGTTTGTATGCGCCGGCCTCCTCCTCCTCCTTACCATTTATTAGGTTTCCTTATAGCCACACACATTCTCCTTGTATTTTTCCTCCCAACCCCACCTTTTCTTTTTATCCCCTTTTCTCTCCATCTTCTTCAACATCTCGCTTTTACGCTTCATTGGCAAGCCCGCAATTTCCCCCACACACAGAGACGTACGCTCGCCGCTCTGCTGCTGTTGCTCCCTCCGCGTCTTTAGTTCCTGCCGCTGGCGTGCGTGGGTGGTGCCACCAGGCTACCCCGCATGGTCATTCGCCTTGACAGCGCCGTGCCCCTCATCGCTGGCGTCCGCAATGCCGTTCATATCTGCCTTCTTGAAGATCTCCTCCTCCGGGTACTGCTCTGCTGCCGTCTCCGAGTGCCCGTCGTGTGGCAAAGCCTCGCCGTCGTTGTCATCCTTCACAGCGGCCTCCTCCTCCTTCACTTCCTCCTCCTTCACTTCCTCCTTCTTCACTTCCTCCTCTTTCACTTCCTCCTCTTTCACTTCCTCCTCCTTCACTTCCTCCTCTTTCTCTTCCTCCTCCTTCACTTCTTCCTCTTTCTCCTCTTTCTCCTCCGCCTCCGCCTCCAGAGGCGTGTGTTGCCTCTCCAGAATCGTCGCGGTGGACAGCTTGCTGCCGGCGCTCGTCGCCACCGCCTCTCCCGGCAGTTTCGTCTGCAGCGGGCGAATTACCTCCGCTGTGTCCTCAACAACAAATACCACGCGGTTGTGCAGGACAGGGTTGGTGGCGGCAATTTCCGTGAACTGAATGTCCAACTTGCCCTCCAGTGGCGTGGCGGAGCGCACGCCGAGGACGAACTCCTTCTGCCGTCCCTCCGAGGTTCCCTTGCGGTGAATGCGAGGGACAACAAAGTATGGCTCATCACT